GACGAAAACGTTTGATGAAGCTACCGAGGCCGTCAAGATCTTCCACCGCGCCATATCGGAAGGAGTCGACCCAACATCATTCCTCTACAATGCCCTAATCGGAAAGCTTGGCAAGGCTCGCCGGATCGATGACTGCCTCCTTTACTTTGCCGAGATGCGTGCCAATGGTATCCGACCCACCAGCGTCACCTACGGCACCATCGTCAACGCCCTCTGCAGAGTCAGCGACGAGCGCTTCGCAGAGGAAATGTTCGACGAAATGGAATCTATGCCCAACTACAAACCTCGCCCGGCCCCATACAACTCCGTCATCCAATATTTCCTCAACACGAAGCGCGACCGCTCCAAGGTGCTCGCATACTACGAGCGGATGAAAACAAAACACATCCAGCCCACCATGCACACCTACAAGCTCCTGATCGACGCCTATGCCTCCCTCGAGCCCGTCGATATGAAGGCCGCAGAGGAAGTCCTCGACACCATCCGCTCAACGGGCAAACAGCCCGAAGCCGTGCACTTCGCCTCCCTCATCCACGCCAAAGGCTGCGTCATGCACGACATGGATGGCGCACGCAAGATCTTCGACTCCGTTATCTCCAGCCGCCACGTCCAGCCACAACCATGTCTGTACCAGGCCCTCTTTGAAGCCATGGTCGCCAACCACCAAGTCTCCGCCACCGCTGAGCTGCTGAAGCACATGGTCAGTCGCAACGTGGAGATGACGCCGTACATCGCCAACACGCTCATCCGCGGCTGGGCTGCCGATGGTAACATCGCCAATGCGCTGTCCGTATACAACGGCATCGGCATCAGCAAGCGCGAACCCAGCACCTATGAAGCGATGACCAGGGCCTTCCTGGCCGCGGAGGATCGCCAGGGTGCGTCCGGCGTTGTGCAGGAGATGCTGTCGCGCGGCTATCCGTCCGCGGTCACTGGGAAAGTGCTGGAACTAGTCGGTGGCGGAACCGCCGGCTCCCCTTCAGCTTAAAAAACGGAGAGCTATGAGCGAGGCTGGACTCACTCGCTTCTTGCAATTTCTCACCCACCGGTCGGTTTCGATTTCTTCTCCTATGTCTTCGTCATATATACGTTTTAATCTTGGGTCCTTTTTTTTCATTTTATATGCGTGTGTGTTATCACGTTTTTATTAATTTTCTACATCTTCTGGACCTGATTTTTGTTTTGTCCGGCATAAAACAAAGAAGAAGAAGAAGAAAAAGATGAATAATTGGACAAAAAGCCCATGTGTCCTGAATTTTTTTCAGCGCCACGAGACAAACAAAATACCCCCGAAAAATTTCGGTTTTCTCTTTTGTTCTTTCATTTTCTAAGCAGGAGTTTGGGAAATAAAATGGGAAGCTTTTCTTGTGTACTATATACATATATAAAACGTGTGTGGGGCGTTCTCTTTTTTTATTGCCATTTTTTACGTTTTTGCTTTTTGGTTTTTGATCTAACCAGCCAGGCGTATCATTCAGAGATACCAACCTTATTCGTCAAGGAGTTTTTCATTTCTTTTCTTTTCATAATGTCAATGCGGGTTGATGGGTAATTGCATATTGGATTTGGCATATATGGTTTTGTTTTCCTATTCTCTACCGGTATTACCGTTCTTTTCTTTTCTTTTATGTTTTGCCTTTTACAACGTTCTGGTTTCGATAGACACATCTCTACTCTCTTCAACAACCAACAAGATGATTGGCCCAAATGGTATAGATCATTCTGGATTCCAGTCTAGTTTGTCTTTTGTTACTGGCCAGGGGCTAGGGGTTAGAGCATAGGGAAAGGGTTTATTCCTCTTTCCCTCGCTCGCTTTTATGTTTTCTCCCCTTTGCTTCTCTCTGGTTGTATGTATGTATGTATGTATGTATGTACATGTACAAAGACACGAATGAAAATTTAAATCTGAACCTCCTTTCTTTTTCTATTACTCGATTTAATTGACATTTGGTAAGGGTGAATCATACTTACAATTTCAATTAGCGCAAGGAAGGGTATTAGGAGGGGGCCACGGAATCGACGTTAAGAAGAGAGAAATTTGAACACAAATGACGGGGAATTCTAATCAATGAGAGAAAATTCTGGTTCCTTTTTGGTGCGATGTCTTTCGTAGCATCGTACTACTCCTTAGTATATAGTATACCTAGTATATAGGCGGGATCCCGCTCTGTTGGCAAAAGTCACGTTACTCCTGCCCATCTTGCGGTCTCTTCTCACATCTCCCCACCATCCCTCCTCTTCGTCTGTTGTATGTCAGACTGCCATAGACATCGCGTTGTTATATTCCCTGATCGTCCGTTAAACATCATATAGACGCGATATTTCCCACAACCCATACACATGCAATGTATTAGTTAGATGCGCCCAACCTACCCTTGGTGTACCCCGCCTACTTCCATCTGGAACCGTCTCAACCGGCTCAGAAACATGACGTTGGACAGAGTAGCTGGAGGAAATGATGACACCGGCGGTGGCGCTATGGGGACTTCCCCAGCCCACGCTCATAGAACACTGAAGAAATTAATTTGTATGTCCGGACTTCCTCCTCCTGGTAGCCCTTTCATTCGCGATCAACCCCCCCCACCACTCCCGCCGTCCGAGAAAATTTGACTCATTCCCCCAGTGGTCGATTCAAACGGGAGCCCAAGAGTCCAACTAACCTCTCAACCCCTTCTATCCAGTTGCGCCAGGAGACATCGCAGCACCGCATCCCGCCACCTACCCAGCAGCGGCAGCAACAACCCCTCACAACCACCAGCT